TGATATTCAAATTGATATAAAACACCAAACAACACCTCAACCCTAATTCATATTCAAATTGATATAACACACCCACTCCATTTCCTCAGCCATTTCAACAATGAAGAACCAAACAGAAGCACCAATACCAAACTAGCAATTGCCAACTCAAATTCAACAGCTAATTTATCAACCAATCCTAGACATGCGAATAGTCCTAATTTATCAATAAAATTCGTAATTGGTGAAATAAAACTCAAATTCGAAGTGCATTAACATCCAACCTAAGTAAGATCTAGGTTTCCGAGTAAATTTTATTTAGGAGCGTGTTAGTCATTCTAATTGCAATTTCTATTCTTAAAATCACAAAAACTTAGAATTATACCATCCAACAAACAAAAATTGCAGCCAAAAAACAATCGAAATACACTAGTAAGTAGTAACTGAAAAAAGGACCAAATAAACCGATGGCTCAGCAAATAAACATTATATAATGCAACACTAATCTCACATTTCATAATCGAAAATCAAACACAAGCAGTCAGACTTAAAGAAAGCAACTAAATCTAATCACAGCATCTAATCTAAATACACCTCTTTGATTTACTTATATTTTCCTTGTTCTCTTTGATTTACTTATTTTTTCCTTGTTCTCAGTCAGACGTATCATCAAAAACCTTCTAAGCAGACAAATACCAACGCCGCCCATGCTTCCAGTTTCGTTTTAGTCGATATAATAAATCCAATACCTAATTGTTTGAATTCTCAGGCTTGCTGCCTGCTGGAGTTCAAGTGCAGGAACAAAGTCCATAAGCAGAAATGGGTGTGTGCGATCCGGAAGCTTCTCGAGCGGAGCACAAAATTCGAAGAGGCTAAGGACGCCCTAAGAAAGTTAAATATCAATAAGAGCATCTAATCACACTTTTATTCAGACAAGTTTTTCTCTGTAATTGAAGTTCTCTTCACAGTACACATTGAATATACAGATGCAATTATCTTCAGACCAACATCAATCTTTGTGAAGTGTCTGAAACTAAAAACCTAAAAAATCAAGTGTATCAGAATCTTAGAATGAGGAGAAAAAAAATTCAAAATTTTGAAAAAAACTCCCAAATTCCGAATTGAAGAAAAAATTCAAAATTGTTGAAAAAAATCCCCAAAATCTTATCTTGCTTAGAGCATCTCCAACCATGTTATCTATCTATACAGTTTCTACAGTAAAATCCCACTAGTTTTACAGTTTCAACAGTGCCAGCTACTCCAACCCATTCCCTCTAAACGAATATTCCAAGCATATTCTACCATATTAATTATAATAATTAAATTTAAAATATTTATAAAAATATTTTAATCAACTCATATAATTAATTATTTCAATTAGTCCAATTGTAGTTAAAAAAGCCTAACCATAATTTCATATTTAACAAAAATATGATTTAATCATATTCTTTACGAAATTAATTTAATAATCATCATCACAATTACAGTTGCCATCACAAAAATTTCACGAAAACCAGAGTCGCCCTCTCCATCTTCATTTCCTAGATACAGAGGAAAAATATAACCATCATCACAAATTCTTTACGAAAAAGCCCAACCCAATTTCATATTTAACCAAAAAAAAAAATAAAAAAATAAAAAAAAAACTTAAGCGGGTGAACAGTGGAACGGTTGCCAAACCGTTCCACAAATCATAGCGTGGCGTTTCCGGCAAATGAAGAGAGCCCGTTGGAGATGCTTTTCCTCCACCTGTGCCGTTTCCTGCAGGTTTACAGGCATGGTTGGAGATGCTCTTACTGTGGAGGACCGTTTGTCGATGAGGAATGGCGAGGAGGACGGTTTTTCGAGCCCGCCATGGAATTTTCCCACAGAATTGGCCGGCGATTTTCAGAGAGACGATCGGCGATGGAATTTAGAGAGAGAGAGATGAACGGAGAGAGATAGAATTGATGATGAAATTTTGAGAGAGAGAGCATCGATATTTTGAGAGAGAGATAGATAGACGAGTTGAACGGGGAGCGAGACGATCTTCTGCTTTCAATTTTTTTATGAAAATAAAGTAAATAAATGAATAATAATAAGAATAGTATATACTCCCTCCATTTTGAAATATAAGGCATTTAAGGTTATTGCACAAATATTAAGGAAACATTAATTAATGAATAAATTGACTAAATTAACTTTATTTACTCTAATCACAACCACTCCACACTTCCTTAATTTCAACACAATGAGGGTATATTTGGAAAAAAATGCAAAAATTTGTCTTGATTTTTGAGCGCGCCTTATATTTAAAAAAATGAGAAATCTTTATACGCCTTATATTTCAAAATGGAGGGAGTATATGGGAAGTGATGTAGACAGAGAAATTAGATATAGAAAGTGAAGTTTAAAAGTGGTGGGAACTAACAAGAAAGGTAAAATGTGCCAGGGATTTATAAGGAACTAGTAAGGTACCCGTGCGATGCACGGGAACATTTAGTACCTATTTATTTTTAAAAAGTATTTTTGTATTTAAATTATCTCATGCCATTAAAAATTTCATGAAAATAAAATTTATATGTTATTAAACACTTCATTATGTACAACATTATTGATTGGATTCTTTGGCACGTAAAGTACTACATAGGTGTTCGAGTTTATCCAAAATTGCATATTATTAATTATTAGTTAACAAATTTTAAAAAAATTAATTAAAGGATCTTATTTATTAAACAAAATTAAAGTAGAAAAAAAGTAGAATTTTTTAGGGATTTTCACCTATTATTTATTTTAAATCTAATTCTAAATTTCAAATTAAGGAAAATTGAAAAGAATCATTAGTTACTCCTGGAAATGAAATCGATTTTCCTACCAATAAACTGATTTTTTTATCAAACAAATTGATACGAATTTTTTTTTAAATCAAATAAAAAAATCATCAATTTTTCCTAAAAATGCAACTGAATTTTCCTAAAATTGCACCAATTTTTGTACCAAACAAATTGAATTGAAAATAATTCTAATAAAAAAGTAAATAAATTGTTAATGTTTATGCAACTGTCTCTTTTCTAAAGAAAATGATATGAACTTAACAAAAAAAAATGATATGAACTTACCAAAATCTCGGTAAAACATGATTAAGAAAAAACATGAGAATCCAAAAAAATCGATGCATTTAAATTTTGAAAAGTTACACACAATTTTTCCTAAATAATTGGATAAGGTGACTTTAAATATCAATTATGAACCGCTTTTGTTACCAGAAAATGTGGACACAATTTTGAATGTACATCCCGTCTAAATATCAGTTTTATTTTAAAATAAAAATTGCACGTGGCTTTATCCAACTTACACAATTTTTTTGAAAGAAAAAATTATTCAATAAGATTGGAAGAATTGGTTAAGAATTATACAACTATTTGCTTCCTAAATTTGTATCCAATTTGCACAGTTTTTAAATTAATTTGTATTTAGAATTGTTTTCATAAAAATTGACACATTTTTTTGCATAAGAATCTCTAAATTTATTACCAAAAAAGACATGATTTAAATTTTGGTAAATAATTAAAATATGATGCGAAAAAAATGAAATTCAAATTTTGCCATAAGAATCTCCAAATTTGTTACCAAAAAATAGGATTTAGATTTTGTTACTAAAGATTCACATGTATTTTTTTGAACTTTCCATTAATAGTAAGTCAAACATTATATTTATTTGGTCAAATTTTCTATTAATATATTTTTCCAACAACCTCTTTATATATATATAGATATAGATATAGATATAGATATAGATTTATCGAAAATTTAATTTTTAATTAAAAAAATTAACTAGATGAGTGTAACATATTTTTTTGTTAGTGCTTTAAAGACTTTTTTTCTTTTTTTTTTTTTTCAAACGGCAGAAACATACTCATAAAAAAGGCCAAAAGGCAATGTACAACAGACGAGCCCGAAACCGGGAAATGAGAGGTTACACACAACAAATGTAACCTAGACCGAATACCAACTAGCAAAGCTAGAACGACCAACACACTACAACACCAACACCAACACCAAACTAAAACCACAACGGAAAAATACAGAAATAAAATCCCCAACAGGGTAATAGCCGAGTGTAAACTCCCAACAGGAGAATAAAGGCTACACTCAGCCAAACTAAACTAGGTCCAAACCAAAAACACATAGACCACACCAGCACAAACACAACGATCACACAAAAAGAAAAACAATGAACATAAACATCAATAAACTAAAACAAAGCCCTTCCCCGGCGATCCGAACTAAGCTCAACCAGCAGTGAACGACCGACACAAAGAAAGCCCCGAGCCCGAGAACCGCTACCGAAACTGCACAAACGCCTATACAGTAGGTGAACTCAACCCCCGAGACAAACTCGAATCGACCCATCTCTAACCGAGAGAGCCCGAAAACAGCCCCACGCCAGCCCCACCGAACTCGTCTAACACCACTAGCCAAGCTCGATAGGATCCAATCCTCTGCCGCCTAACACCACTAGGCGACCGAGGAAAAAGCGTGAGTGGCCCGAGCCCTCAACCCCAACAGCCGCACCAGACCGACACAGCAACCGGGATCCCGCCCCACTCATCGACTTCCGCACCCCCAGACACCACCACCAATTGCCGAGACCCCGCGGCAAAGCCCCATCCAAACAGGCGAAACCCCCGTCGGAGAGCTACAGCCCAGCAGCCACAAACGAGAGCCGATGGAAATGCAACACACCGCAAACCAGAGCCCCGCCGGCAATCGAAGATAGAACCTCCAATCGTCAGCCGAAAGACAGCCGGGTACGTCATCTCCTCCCACCAAGGCCCCATCAGCGACCACAGACCGGCCACCGCATCCCAAGCAATCCATGGCCACATCGAGAGCGCGCTGCACCGGGAGTGGGCCAGGCGGTCAAGGACGACCCCTGGCCGAGCTAATTCATCGCGGAGGAAGGCGAAAAGATTGGATTTTTGAGAGGAAGGGTTTCACAGAAATTGGGGATCGGGGAGGAGCTTTTGTAAATGTGGAATTTAGAATAGTGCTTTAAGGACTGGATTAAAAATAAATCTTAAATTTCACCTTATGATTTCATCATAATATTGATTAATGTACCGAGAAAGGTCAAAGGAGTTCATTCGGGAGTGTGCTAATAAGCTCTGTTTTAATGGAGTCGGTGAGAAGAGCAGTGAAGCAAATAGCACACACCCCTCCCTCTCAATGGCTCTCTACGCTCTCTCCTTACCATCTCTCTCTAACCCCTCTTCTCTTTCTGGCGTCCTCTCTCTACTCCGTCGCCATCCGCCTCCGCCGCCAGCTCCACCGCCTCAACATCTTCGAAGAACACCGGTAATTCCTTTCTTTTCCCCATACGCTTTAGATGGTCGCTTTATTCCTTGGATCACGCGGTTGAAATGATTCTACAATGGGTTTTAAGGTTGCCGGTGCCGGTGATTAGTGTCGGGAATTTGACGTGGGGAGGCAATGGGAAAACTCCAATGGTGGAATTTTTGGCTCGCTCATTCGCTGGTGACGGAGTTTCGCCACTCGTTCTAACTAGGGCATGTTATTCTACAACTTGAATTTGTTCTTTAAGTCAATTTGCACAACATTACTCGCGAAGTTTTAGTGTAGTTTATCTTTTGAAGATTACAATTGAATATGACATGACAGTTTTCTCTTCCTAAGAGGTTGCGTCATCAATAGGGCAGTTGTAAAGTAATTACTGATATCAGTGGGATCTTTGTAAATTTTAGTGGGATTTGAAGAATCTTGTAACAATCTGTTTTCTATCTCTAGTCATGTGTGATCCAATGTGTAAGAATCATTGAGAATGTTAGCTATTTGTTGAAGGAAATATTTTGCACTGTGCTTGTATCTGAAGTTGGTTCATCGAGAATATTTATGTACCTTATGCAAAAAGCTTCTATTTAGAAACCTGAAATTATTTAATTTTATTCTTAGCGGACATTTCAAATTTCTGAACTGTTACAGGGGTATGGTGGTGCAGATGAAGCCAGGATGCTTCAGAGGCAACTCAAAGGAACTTCCTCTAAAATTGGTGTGGGCGTAAATCGAGTAGCTATTGCAACTAAATTCCTCGAACAATATGGTTACATGAATTTCCGTGGTACTTATGAAAAACTCTTCTCTGGTGAGAAAATGGAAATTCAGTCTAATTTTGATCGAGTTGGGGTTGCTATCCTTGATGATGGGATGCAGGTAATAGTTCTAGTTAGAGGCTTCCGGTAGCTAGGGAAAAAAATGCAATAACCCGAAATTCTTCCATGAAAGCGTTTATTAGAAAATACTTTTCCAACATTTAATTGTTTATCAAGATTCCAACACGAATATTCTAAACCTTTTTGCAATCGCTGCATATGCCCTATCTTTGTAGCTTTATATTAATGCCATTTGGGGCGGGTAATCTGAAGTTAACGCGTTCCACTAATTCGTTTGTGTCGTGAACAATTTGGAAAACAGCACCTGAGTGTAATGCGTGATTTGGAGATTGTAATGGTGAATGCACTGATGCCATGGGGAAATCATCTATTAATTCCACTTGGAGCTTTAAGGGAGCCTTTGACTGCACTCAGTCGTGCTGATATTCTAGTCATCCACCATGTGGATTTGGTATCAAAGATTTGCTTTCTTTAATCTTATTTACTTTCGAAGAGCTTAATGTTTCCAATAATATTTGGAGCAATTATGTAAATTTTCATTGAGTTCTTTACTTGAAAAAGAAAAAGGCAGTTTTTCTTAAATCACTATTTCTGTCTAACAGTGTTTTGTAAGTTCAATTTGTTAAACATATTATTTGTGGGTATCGTGTGTGTAAATTTGAAGCATAACTGGATCTTTTTGTTCTTTTTTTTTTTATTAGGCTAAATGTCAAAGACTGTGTTTGTCATCACCCATTAATCTCTTGGCACTTAAAGCATGTCGTGGAGTAATTCCACAGTCTGATGTACCTATGCTTCACAGGTACCTGAAAATGCTATCGAAACCTTAGAATCTACAATTCAAAGTGTCAAAAAGACTCTTCCAATTTTCTTCACTAGAATGACTCCGGTTCACTTCTTCCCATGTCGGGACATTTCCTGTAAAATACCCCTGAAGGCTGTTGAAAATATGGTTGTATTATGCCTTTCAGGCATTGGATGTGCTGATTCTTTTATTCAGAGCATTGAAAGGGTACCTTTTGTTATTGTTTACTTTTTTTCCTTTTGTCTTTTCATTATTTAAACATCTATGTAGCCATATTGTTGCCTTGGTATGGACTACTGCTGCAAAATTTTACTATATTTTTATCATATTCATCATTTTTTTTTTCGTTGTCTCAAAGAGGTGTCCACTCTTTGCAGATGGGACCAGCATATGTGGACCACCTGGACTTCAGTGACCACCATTTATTTCAATTGAAGGTAAAATTTCCCTTTGGTGTTCCTCTCTAATATCATGTCTCCTATTGCTTGAGGTTTAGTCCTTTTTGTTTTCCCTACCATATGCCTAAGTTCTTAAAACTATTTTAGATTTTATTGCCATGCCAAGGATTGTTTTAGGGATTACTTATTTGGGTTTCATAGGCTTAAAGCTTTCTGATATTTTTACGGCACCAGGAAATTGAAATGGTACTGGCGAGACTTGAAGCACTTGAAGCCGAGTTTGACTCCAATCCTGTTGTTATTGTAACTGAAAAGGTGAGCTGCGAGCATATCCTAGAGTTAAGTACAAATGTGGTGTGCTTATCTTCTGTCTCAATTACTTGAAAGAATACACGTATGAAAATGTTTGGTACAAATGCTTCGTGCCTATCTCTGAATGGTTGTGATTTTTTTGAGCTTAGGATTATGACAGAGCTCCCAAAGTGCTCGAACACATGAGTCATTACGAAGTTTGGGTTCTGTGTAGTCGCTTGGAATTTGTGGCGCGTAAAGGAAGAACGAAAGATGGATTCAAAAAGGTGATGAGAGAGCTTTTGGGCCGAAGGATCCTGGTGTAAATGAGTGGTAATATTAACTCTTACAGTTAACTTGACAATATGCGGTAAACATGCCGATATTTTTTTCTTCTTTTTTTTGTTTTTTCCGCCTTTGTTATATCTCCCTTATCAGTTTTGCTATGATGCCAACAGATATTAATAAAATTATTAGTATTTATTTAAGTAATCAGAGAATATGGTAGATTTACTTGTTGTATATAGAAGGTTGGTTCCGTGGAGCCAACTGTTGGATTCATAGCAAAACCGGCTTATTCCCATCATTATTGTTTTGTTTATGTTTAGTTATACTTCTGAATATTATCCATTTAATTTTTCCCTGGTGGCTTATATTCATTCAGAATCTATAATTTATATCACCTCTATTCTTTTGTTTATGTTTAGTTATACTTGTTAATATTATCCATTTATTTTTTCTCTGGTGGCTTATATTCATTCAGAATCTAAAATTATATCACTTTTCTTATAAACAAACTGTTCTTCAAAATAAAGAAGTAATATATTTTTGAGGAAAACTTCTATATCCATTCGCTATGGTTTTAAACTAAAATGGGTAAAATGTTAAACAAACATTTCACAATGTAGGCATCTAGGAGGTGAAATACTAGCATAACCTCTTATATGAAGCGGTATAAACGTTACATGAATCAATTTGTCATGTTGTATGAACAAATATACATATTCATCCAATCAAATGATAAATTTTTGCTTATGTCATTTCTTAAATTATTATATCTTTTTAATAAAAGTATATAAATGGGACTAGTGCGTAGCCCGTGCGATGCACGGGTAAACAATATTAAATAATAGTTATAAATTAAAGATGTAAATAAATAATATTAAATAATAATGTGGGTTAACACGTGATATAATTTACAAATAATGCTAAGGAGCCAACAGTCGAGCATATTTTATTGTAAATAATATAAAGTTTTCTTGTATAAAAGACTATAATACATGTATTTGGATACACGCAATTAGTTTTTTTACCGTTAGCAAAAAGATGTGAGTGCAAGGACTACCGAGCATATTTCCCAAAAAGATGTGAGTGCAACATAGTTTGAAAATTAGTTTTTTTACTATTTGCAAGCACACGTCGAGCAAGCATAATAAATATTTAGATACCAGAATTATGATACAAAAACACGTCACGTGAGTACAAAATGTATTGGAAATTAGTTTTTTTTTTTTTTTTAGTAATTTATGCATNTGCATAATAAATATTTACATACCCAAATTATCATTAGAAATAACGTAAAAAATATTTTTCATTAAAAAAGACGTACAAAATATTTTGAAAATCTATGGCCGAACTACTTATTCAATTAAAAAATTATCCTTTTTTTTTCTTAGCTATCCACGCCTAGATTTATGTTTATGGGTTGGACTTATAAAATAATTATTAAGATTATGTTAAGGATAAGCATCACAAAATTCTGTACAAACTGTTTTTGAAAATATGGTTAGTACGCTGGCGAGATTCATGCAGTTGACCGAACAAATTGAGTATTGCATTTAATGTTCCATCTTTTATTTCTATTTAAAGTATACATTAATTTTTTTGGCGGGAATTACTTTTTAAATGTAGTAAATAGTAATTCTTATTATATATACATAGATATGATATTTGTTTTCTTTAAAGATGATCAATAGTGGTTTCTCATTTAACTTCTACATGCCTTAAACTCGAGACCTATTAGTTCCAAGTGAAGAGTGTTACTAACTGAGTTACCTCTTCTCGTCTAGGATATGATATCTTAATGGTTAAACAACATAACAGAAGATCTATCAAATTATAATAACCTTTTAGATAACGAGATCCATTAAACAATGTAATTGCATCAGCATGGATCTTTGGATTTTAAATTGGATTTAAGTTAGAGATCACAAACAATGCTATTGTATCAAACACAATAGTGTGATATGTTCTTACTAACATGTCAAAATAAGGAACTGAGTGTACGTGTATGAATGTTATAATTTCCGTGTCGATGTGAAACAACATGACAAGACCAACATGTCAAAATAAGGAATTAAGTGTACTTGTATGAATGCTACGATTTCTATGTCGACGTGAAACAACATGATACGGCTTTGATAATTTTTAGAGAGAAAATTGCAATTTTAGTCCAGTAACTTAGGCTGTTTCCCACTTTAGTCCAGTAACTTGGACCGATCCAAAATTAGTCTAAAAACTTCCAAAATGTAGTTAAGTTAGTCCAATTTCGGTCTCCGTCGCCGGAATCCGAATTGCCAACTCAGCACATTCCGATCGGATTCCGGCGACGGGGATCGGAATTGGACTAATTTAACTACATTTTAGAAGTTTTTGGACCAATTTTGGATCGGTCCAAGTTACTGGACTAAAGTGGGAAACAGCCTAAGTTACTGCATTAAAATTGTAATTTTCTCAATTTTTAGAACTACACAATCCATAGTTTGACATGATATATTTTGTTAATGCATCGTGATGCCACCACACACGACTCAACGTTATATTACCTTTGTATATGATATGACACGATAAAGTAAAGGTGACAACTATAATGTAACAAAAAGGTATTTCTCAACTTCAAAAATGATAAATATCATTATTGTATATCAAATTAAAATAAATTGTTGTTCGTTACATACAAAATGGTATGATTTAGTTATGAATTTAATAATTATGGCATATCAAACTGAAATAAATTGTTGTCTGTCAGTTACAAAATTGTATGATTTAGTTATGAGAATACCCGATGTCACAAAAAAATATTTTTGGTGACAAAAATAATATTTTATTATTTTTACTTAACCAAATATTAAAGACATTGAGTCATGGTAAACTAAATCATAGCAAAATATAAAATTTCATGGAGTGATAGTTCATATTCATAAGGACTTTTTTAAATTACTTAATAGTCGTCGTATTTCACACACATTTCCAAAGATAACTGACTCGTATCAGCGATTAATTGTTGCATTTTTTTCAGCTTAATTTTTTCCGATACCCCAAGTTTAACGGATTTTTTAAAGAACAAAAAGACTGTGATCAACCAACTTGGAACGGTTTTCTCCCCAAACAAAGAGTATGATAATCAGCCACATATGTAATTCCACTACGTTTCAGTTTATACGTCACTTGATCTATTTGAGACGTGCGCTTTTTGTGGCCTATGGAAGGTTTTAAATGGACATAATACACATAAATTTTACACATTAGTTGTTCTAGTTTAACTCGCCAAGAAAAAATCAATATTACACGTAATTGAAATATTATTGCTATTTACAACTATTTATTAGATAGCTAGGTTAGGCAAGGTCGATGGAGCCTCCCAAATACAGCTCAAGGAATTATTAATTTACATATATTCACTATCAATTTTCCAAATCAGCACATATATACCAAACACACTATTTTAGGTAATGCCGGGAGAACGAAATCCACCGCCGCAGGAGTTGGTGCACCACCAGCTCCGTTCTCTAGACGACCCAATCGAGCAATACTTGGGTAGTTTTGGGTGGAAACAGTTTTTCCAATCCACCTTAGTCTCGTTTGCATGGTTTTTCGACGCGCAACAAACTTTCATCGCTGTTTTTACCGATAAGAAGCCTAAATGGAGCTGCACGAACCACAACAATACTAGCTTTCCATGCGAAAACACGACTAATCTTGACTTGTTGTGCAAGCTGGAATCTGCCGTGCACGCGTCCACTGTATCCGAGTGGTCCCTCCTATGCGCTAGCCCCTTCACGAGAGGCCTGCCTTCGTCGTCCTTCTTGTTGGGCTGCCTTGTTGGCGGGCTCGTGCTTTCCACTCTCGCGGACTCGAAAATGGGCCGCAAAAACATGTTGATCCTATCCTCCTTAATCATGTCTGTATTCGGGGGCCTGACTGCAATTTCTAGAAACATTTGGATGTACGCCGGATTCCGATTCCTAAGCGGGTTCGGACGGTCCACGGTCGGGACGTGCGCGTTCGTCCTCGCGAGCGAAATGGTCGGGAAAAAGTGGAGGGGCAAAATCGGGATAATGGGTTTTTCGTTTTTCACGTTAGGGTTCTTGTCACTCCCCCTCGTAGCTTTTCTACTGAGAGGATCCTCTTGGAGGTTAATTTATCTCTACACGAGTTGTCCGTGTGTTTTTTACTCTCTGCTAGTGTATATATTCGCCCACGAATCTCCGAGATGGCTTTTCGTCAAGGGAAGAAGAGAAGAATTTACGAAAACTATCGCAAACTTAACGAACGCCACTTCTCCCGGAGAATGTCGTGTGGAGTGGACGGAAAAAGTTACGGATGACAGTAATAGTAATAATCCCTTTTATTCCGCGCTAAAGATGTTAGTTAGTAAAAAATGGGCCTCAAAGCGTCTACTAGCATTGATGATTGTGGCTTTTGGCAACGGCATGGCCTACTTCGGAAGCCCATTGGGCCTCGATGGCTTGCCCTTCAACCTCTACATGAGCGTCACGTTAAATGCGGTGTTCGAGTTGTTGGCCGCGTGGATCATGGTTTTCGTGATAGGGAAGTTGAAAAGGAAAAATTGGTTGGTCGGGTTATCTTTGTTTAGTGGGGTTTGTGGCGTGGTGGGCGTTTTCGTACGATTGAATGGAATTCGGATAGGTTCGGAATTGGTGTATTTTTTTAGTATATGCATGGCGTACGATGTTTACATGATCTACGCTTCGGAGCTGTTCCCAACGTGCGTTAGGAACTCGGCATTGTCGATGGTGAGGGAAGCGGGCTATCTCGGTGGGCTTTTGGGCCCGATGCTCGTGGCATTTGGGAGAAGGGTAAATGGGCTGTTGTGCTATGCCGTGTTTGGGTCAACCGTATCGTTGACCGCATTGTTTGCGGTCCTTCTGTCCGAGACTAACGGGAGGACGTTAAGTGATACAATGGAGGAAGAAGAGGAAAACGAGTACGTACGGTGAGTTTGGAACTTTGTTTTGGAAGTAAACACATCCATGATCATTCATCTTAGTCTATGAGTTGTAAGATATAATCTGGATAATGATTGTTAATTTTTTAATTGAGCCCTGCTAGCTACTCGGTCTCATATATATCAAAGCCAGATGCTAATTAGTAATTATCTGTTGAATATTTTCTTACATGTATTGTATGATTCAATGCGGCTAATTAAACACAAATACAGTTATATGGTTGATTGGGAAAATATGCATTCATGTCTCCCTGGCAGGAAAATGATAGGATGTCAAATAAGTTTTGTCAATAAGATTGCTGCCCTCTTTGGATTGTGAGCTCCGAAATGAGTTACCATATAATAAGTTTAATATGTTTACAAACTTTCAACAATCATGAGCTGAATATGAATTTGCTAGCTAGTATCATATCTCAAGTTAAGTAAATAAATTTAGGGAATGACTAGAGTCCCGTTACAAAATCATTTCGTCAGTAGTGTTTTTAACAGTAATCTGCGTGTGTATCTACCATTAAAAATACCAACGGAATGATTCCGTAACGAAAATGTAGTCATTTTCATAAATTTAATTCTAATAACTACATTCGTGCGTAGAGGTGGGAAAAAAATTGAATTTTCCGTATCGGTCTATTTAAAACATTGTCGGTATTGTTGGTTCAATGAAGAACGTCGGCCTAAGTGCACATTCAATTACTTATTGAATTGAATCATAACGCAACAGAATCTATTGCTAGGATTGAGGACTTATGTTTCAAAATTTTGTAGACTCTGAGACGTTTACACAGCCTTCTGGGCTAGATGAACGGTTCCGAGATGCGTTCTCTTGCCTACGTGCTCTCCGTGCACTGCCTTCGCTGTGTCGCCAACCGCTTCCCGTTGCTCGCCGTGTGTCGACAAGGAATCGTCGGGGAATGCTGGTCACTCTGCGCGGAGCCTTGCTGCGTCGTCGGGTAGTGCACACTGTCTATCGCGTTGCTGAGGTGCTGCGTCATGGGATGCTTTGCTTGTGAAGATCGCGCGACGCTTGGTGCTGTCTGCGGGTAGCATGTGATGGTCGCTGCAAGTGGTGGTTGCCGCCGCGTCGCCTCGCTGGTGTGTGCCTGGTGTCGCCGGTGGTCCCGCCGTGTGCGGTGGTCGCCGGTGGTCGAGTACGCTGATTTTGGTGGTCGTCGAATAACTTTGAGGATATATATATATATATATATATATATTTGTCGAGATGCGGAATATGAGACCTTTTGATCTTCTATTGTATAACCGACCTCCTACTCCGATTTTTCGTGGTGGACAACTTCTCGGATCTCCTGAACCTCTCACAAACTCACACGATTTTTTCTCTTTCTGTTCTCGATTTTCACGAGTTTCTTTCTCAAGACGAAGAACTCACGTATGATGTGTGTGGTTTGGAGGCTAAGGACTTGGTGTATTAATTTATATGCTACAATATCGACCCTAAGGAGGTGCTAAATATGAACTCCCCAATTGTGCATCCAACTATGGGCCTAGCCCACTACACACACAACTGAATAATATTAAATATCACTATAACAATATTATTGAATTCCTCATTTAGTCTGCTCGATTTACCTCTCCCACGTTTAAGATCTAACGTATGTTGATTAGTTTAATTACTGACAATATAATTAATCAACTTCTATATCTGAAACTAGTACAATTCAATTCTTTATTATTATGTCAGAAATTAATCCGCCTGCAGTGCTTAAATAATTATCTTTCTTGAGCTCATTTTAGAGACATCATCAACCCGGCAGATCGGGACACAGTGACTGTAAATAATTTCTACATCACCTCATGTACCCAACATTACTTACCAAAATACTGAGTCTGTCGACCTATCAGAATAAGTTCCGTCCATGGTAAATTAAATAAAAAAGTATCGAATACAAATGCGTGTTTCTATTGTCTTAATGGCTTAGAGAACGCAACAATTACTATGGTCTAGATTTTTTTACTTGGTCAGTATAAAATAATCTTTTCTTCCGTAAGTCCGTTCAATACATTCATGAAGTACTAGTATAATTCATTAGTCAAAGACCAACTAATTCAAAATCACACTATATCCTTTCACGGCAGTTTGTTCAATTCAGTCTAGGCTGTGAACAAATAATTGTATTTTCCAATACACCGATAATATGATCTTTATGTTCGATATATTAAATCATATTATCTACAATCTAAAATAAAGGAACTATGTTCGCATAAATAAATAATCTGTAAAGATACATTTGACTAAAATATGATTCTTATACAAAACGGTATTGTCAGAAACTGAAAGTCGAACTTTTACAGTATACCCTAACATGTATCAATTCAAATAGTTTTGACATGGACCATCCCACTTGTCCCGTTTAATTACATACGTACAAGATATTATATATATATATATATATATATATATATATATATATATATATATAGGGATAATATGAGAATGACTCACAATGAAAGAAATAAGAATGAACTTGGACCATGGGATCAACCATATCAACGATGATGATGAAGTCAAAATTAATTAAAACAGTCAAAATCGTGGTGGCATAATTGTAAATAACTGAACATTATTGAGTCAAATATAACCATTTAGGGCAAATATGTAATTTTGACCCATCATCAAACCAGTGGGACCCACTCATATTAATTGCAACAAGTCTCTTCTCTCTCCTCTCTTCTCTCTCCTCTCTCCCCCGTTCTATCTTCACTTCTCTCTCCTTTACACTGCCGGCGCTGGAAGCTCACAAGTCACGGCCTGCCACACCGATTCCCGCACGCCACCGCCACCGCAACTGCAACGAGTCTGCCGATCATATCGCCGCATCGTCAGACCGTTACCGCCATCCGTCCGTCGAGTCCGGCCACAGCATTCTCGCATCGGCACCGCCAACCGCCGTCAGCCGTCCGCCATCATCTTCCAATCGCAGGTCACCGCCATCCGCCATCCGCATCGCCTCCGCCATCAGTCTGGCCATAGCTTCCTCGCCTCGCCGGCCCACTGCATCTCTGCCATGTCACCTCCCCACCGGAGAAGTTGCAGATCGCCGGCGGCGAGAACCACCACCCTACCGAGCTTGCCCTCGGTAGAAGGCAGACCACATACATCAATTTTGCATTTTTAAAAGTTGTGGCATGTTTTTTGAAAATTTGATATATTTAAAGCACTTAATTGTAATTTTATAAATTTCAATATATTACAATTCAATCTATGGGTCGAATTTAGAATTTATGAAAAATTAAACACTTGCACATTAATGATATATAAATTGCATCATAGGATAATTAAAACTGCACGTTAATATTTTTATCTCACATTTTATTTATTTTGATAAAAAAAATTAATATTTTTTTTTATAAAAAATAGTATTTTTATATAGTCCGGTTGGTCTGGTTATTTCGGTTCTTAAACAAAAATTAAATAAATAAAACAATAAAACTTACATCGATCTGAAATAACTAAAATTTTAAAAGTAAACATATATAATCGATTCGACATAAAATTCGAACACAAAATATTAATTCAGTTGGGTTTAGTCGCTATAGTGCAATCTGATATTCACTAATGTGCAATTCGTCTAGAGCTAAAGTGCAATCTGAAAGACATTAACGTGCAATCAGTCTGACAACAATGCACATTCAAAGTGAAATCGTTTTTCAATGTAGAAAAAAGATATAAAGAAAAAAATTGACATCAAACCAAAATAATCGAGTTTTTAATGTAAAAAAAGAATAAATCGAACTGAAATATAAAATTTTGAAGAAAAATTATATTTCGATTTCGTACAATCACCAAAATATAAAATTTTGAATAAAATTTTGAACTGCAAAATTTAGTTCGGTCAAGTATAGTTGCTATTGTGCAATCACATATTCATTAAAGTGCAATTCGTCTAACTTTAAAGTGCAATCAAATATTGTTAATGTTTTGTCACAACCCAAACAAATTCCGAATCTAAATAATTAGTTTATTCGATTGACTAACCAAGTATTTCAATTAAATAATTTATTATTTATATAATACAAATATATTTAGTGTTATAATATTTATATTTCACATTTTATATTTTTGTGGTTGAAGTGACATATTATATAAAATACAGAAATCAATAATGAGCCGGATTTATTTTATACAGTATAATAAGCTGTTTTTTTTTTTCTTTACGTGCATTTCAATTTTTAAGAAACTTTTAAAAACGTGTATGTTAATAGAAATTATTTTGCATTTACCAAAGATTTATTTAAGGAATAAAGATATTTTGTATTTATAATTATGAAATATATGAAATAATATGAAACATTTTATACGGTGCAACTTGTTGTGTTATAGGGTGCAACGTAACATGTATATAAAGTGCAACATATTTAAATTTGTGAAAATTGCAACCAAGTCCCTAGAAGATATCAAATTTTCAAACCCCCCCAATTTTCCAATCTCATTTCATGGTGTATCCCGTCACTCAGCCCCTGTACTAGCCGCCGTGAATCTCCCGGCCGTTCTCTGCCACGCCAAGATCTCGTGATGGGAAATAATGACGGCTACGATGGTGAAGGTGGACGGTTAGAGCCGTATTCACCATATACACGTGCAGGAGGACGGTGATGAGAACTCCGACGTGGAGGACGACGGTGAAAGAGACGTGACGAGCTGACGGAGTGGAGGACTACAGGGACGAGAACTCCGGCGCCAGACCAGACGACGACGTTAATGTGGCCGGTCGGAGAAGATGAGAATAATGGCCTGCGGGAGGAAGGTTGCGACGGACCGGCAGTAATGACAGCAGATCGACGATGACTGGCGGCGGCCCTGTTGCTGCTGTGGACGGCTGTGGTCGGGCGCTATCGGAATTCGGGCGGGTGGCGATGTCTGGTGGGTTGTTCATCCAGTGTATGCGTGTGTGTGTATTTGTGTGTGCGTTGAGTGTTGACTGATTCTTTTCTTTTTATTATTATTTTTGGTGTCAGTGTGTGCGAGAGAAGTGT